AATCCAGGAGCTGGTTCTTTGACAATATAAACAAAATCAGCAAGCCTTTAATCAGATTCATCAAGAAAAAAAAGGGAGAAGACCCAAATAAAAAAATCAGAAATGGAATAGGAAAAATTACAACTGATACCACAGAAATATAAAGGACTTTAAGAAATTACTATGAAGAACTATATGCCAAGAAATTTGAAAAGCTAGGTGAAATGGACGAATTTCTACGAAAATATAATCTTCCAAAACTGAATGAAGAAGAAGCAGAAAGCCTGAACAGACCGATTAACAGCTGGTGAAACTGAAGCAGTAATCAAAAAACTCCCCTCACACAAAAGACCTGGGCCAGACAGTTCCACAGGATAATTTTACAAAATATTTAAAGAAAAGCTAACCCTTATCCTTATCAGACTATTCTAAAAAACCTAAGAAGAGGGAAAACTCCTCAACTCTTTTTATGAGGCCAGAATCATCCTAATCCCAAAACCAGACAAAGACACAACAAAGAAAAAAAACTACAGGCCAATATTGCTGATGAACATAGATGTTAAAATCCTCAACAAAATGTTAGTAAGTTGCATCCAGCAATACATTAAAAAGATCCTGTTCCAGGATCAAGTGGGATTTACCCTTGGGTGCAAGGAAAATACAATGTTTGCAAATCAGTAAATGTAATACATCACATAAAGAACAGGAAAGACAAAAATCACATGACCATATCAATAGATGCAGAAGGTAAGGCATACTTATGCCATTTGATAAGGTACAACACCAATTAATGATAAAAACACTCAGCAGAGTGGGAATAGAGGGAGCATACTTCAACATAACAAAAGCCATATACAAAAAACCTGCAGTCAACATCATACTTATCGTACAAAAACTAAAAACTTTCCCACTAAGATCAGGAGCAAGACAAGGATGCCTGCTTTCACCACTTGTATTCAACATAGTATTGGAAGTTCTAGCCACAGTGTTCAGACCAAGAAGAAATAAAAGACATCCAAATTGTAAAGGAAGAAGTAAAACTGTCATTGTTTGCAGGTGATATGATTAGTGCACATAGAAAACCCTACAGACTCCACCAAAAACTACTCACCCTAATAAGTGAATCTGACAAAATCAGTGGATACAAAGTCAATATTCAGAAATCAAAAGCATTGTTGTACACATACAATAAAATATTAGAAACAGAAATTAAAATAAAAAATCTCATTTGCTATAGCAACAAGAAAAATAAAGTACCTTGGAATAAACCTAATCAAGGAGATAAAAGACCTTTATCTTTGTGTAGAAAACTACACAACTCTGAATAAAGAAATTAAGGAAGACACAAACAAATGTAAGTGTTACCACATTCTTGGATTGGAAGAATTAACATCATCAAAATATTTATACTATCCAAAGCAATTTATACATTCAATGAAATCCCTATTAAAATACCAATGACATATATCACATATATAGAACAAACATTTCAAAAATTTATATGGAACCATAAACAACCCTGAATAGTCTCAGCAATTTTGAGAAATTTTGAGAAATTAGGAGGGATCACTATACCTGACATCAAACTACATTACAAGGCCACTGAAATCAAAACAGTCTGGTACTGGCATAAGAACAGACACATATATAAATAGAACAGAATAGAGAGCTGAGAAATAAACCCAAGTCTATATTGTCAATTAATATTTGACAAAATGGACAGAAGCATAAAATGGAGTCTCTTCAACAAATGGTGTTGGGAGACCTGGACAGCTACATGCAAAATCATAAAACTCAATCACCAACAACACCATGCACAAAAATAAATTCAAGGTGGATAAAAGACTTAAATATGAGTTGTGATAACATAAAAGTCCTTCAGAAGAACATATACAGGAAAAATTCAAATATTCCATGCAGCAATATTTTCACCAATATGTCCCCTAGAGCAAGGGACCTAAAGGACAGAATAAACAAATGGGACTCAATCAAATAAAAAGCTTCTGCATGGCTGAAGAAAACATCAGCAAAATGAAAAGGGAACCAACCACGCGGGAAAATATATTTGCAAATGACATCTTGGACAGGGGTTTGATTTCCAAAATACATAAAGAGCTCACACAACTCCACTCTAAGACAAACAATCCAGCTAAAAAATGAACAAAGGACCTGAACAGGCACTTCTCCAAGGAAGACATACAGAGGGCCCAGAGATATTGAAAGGATGTTCAACGTCAATAGCCATCAGAGAGATGCAAATTAAAACCACAATGAGATACCACTTCACACTGGTCATAGTGACCATCATAAACAGATCAACAAACAATGAGTGCTGGTGAGATTGTGGAGAATGTGAACCCTAGCACGTTGTTGGTGGAAATTCAGACTGGTACAGTCACTGTGAAAAACAGTATAGAATTTCCTCAAAAAACTAAAAATGGAACTGCCTTTGACCCAGCAATTCCACTGCTGGGATTTTGAGGAACAAGTATGAAAGACACAGAGATGAGGACTGGGGGGGTGGAAATGGGAGGGAGGGGGGAGACCGGGCGGGGGGTGCGGTGGGATGGGAGAAATAGATAAAAAAAATGTACTTGAAAAGTAACTAAATAAAATTTAATATTAAAAAAAATAATAATTAAAATTTTATTTACTTAAAAAAAAAAGAATCCTGAAACACCAATTCAAAAGAACCTATGTACCCCAATGTTCATATCCTCACAATTTACAATAGCCAAGTTTTGGAAGCAACTTAGATACCTATCAGTAAATGAGTGGATCAAAAAACTATGGTACATTTACACAATGGAATACTATGCAACAAAAAGCAAGAAGAAACTCCTACCCTTCCCAACAGCATGGATGGAACTGGAGAGCATTATGCTAAATGAAGTAAGCCAGGTAGTAAAAGACAAATACCATATGATTTCACCTATAGGTGGAACCTAATCAACAAAACAAACAAGCAAGCAAAATATAACCACAGACACTGAAATAAAGAACAAACTGACAGTAACCAGAAGTGTGGGGGAGAGGAGGGTAATGGGGGAAAGAAGGGAAAGTGTTGTTAAGGAACCTGTATAAAGGGCCCATTGACAAAGCGAAAGAAGGAAAGGATTGGAGGTGGGAGGTAAGGATAGGTTGAGGGGGAAACTGGTGGTGGAAAAATGGAGACAACTGTACATGAGCAACAATTATAAATACATACATACATACATAGAAAAATATAAATCCAACCAATCTTCAGAAAACATTCAAGCAAAAAGAGAATGGAGTGAAATATTTAGTGTTGAGAGAAAACAACCCACTGAACTAGAATTTAGTACCCTGTGAAATTATACTTCAAATGTAAAGGAGAAATAAAACTTTCTCAAACAAATATTGAGAGAGTTTGATGCCAGTATACCAGCTTTGCAAAAAGTGTTTCATAAAGTTCTTTAAAGAAAAGAAAAATATGTCAGAAACTTAGATTTACATTAAAAAGGAAGAGCATGAGAGAATAAATAAATGAAGGTAAAAATTTAAAATTATTTTTATTATTTTAATTGATTTAAATTGATCAAATAGATAACGGTTTGTTTAAATAATAATATTAACAATATATTTAATTATGTATGTTTGTAGTATATATGCTTCTGCCCGAGTGTCATTAATGGCAGCAAATTATAAGGAACAAGAGGGAGGAAATGGGAATATTGTTATAATAACATACCTGTACTAACGGTGAAGTATTATACTATTATGTTATTTAAATGTGACATGAATTAGCTAAAAGTATATATTGAAAATTCTAGGTCAACCACATAGAGGCGAAAAACTTTTTAAGGAGGCATAGACTGACACAACTCCAAAGAGAAATAGATAAATACACTTTACAATTAGGGAGGTCAATATGCTATCAACAAGGGACAGATACAGCAGTAAGAAAGCCAGCGAGGATACAATTAAACTCTATGGGACCATCAGTCAACTAAATATAATTGATATGTATCAACTACTTCATCCAATAGCAGCAAAATATACATTATTCTCAAGCTCGCACCATACATTACCCAAAATAAATCACATTATGGGCCATAAAAGATGCCTCAACAAACAAAAGTAGAAATCTTACAATGTGTGCTATCAGACCTCAGAATATTTTAAACTAGGAATCAGTAACAGAAAGACAGCTGTAAAATCTCAAAATACTGGGAAATTAAACAACTGGGTCAAAAGAGAAAACTCAGGAAAAAATTTTAAATATTTTAAACAAGTAACAATTAAAATACAATTTTTTCAAAATGTGTGGTATGAAGCAAAAACAGTACAGAGGGAAGTTTATAGCATTAAATATATACATATAGAAAAAGAAGAGATATATAAAATCAATATTCTAATCTGTCATAGAAAACTAGAAGAATAAGAGCAAATTAAATTGAACAAAGACAATAAATAATAAAATTAAAGCAGAATCAACTAATTTAATGGGAAACAAGAAATCATTAGAGAAAATTAAGAAAACAAAAGTTGATGCTTTGAAAAGATCAATATAATCTATCATTTCTAGTCATGTTATTCAAGAAAATAAGAGAGATTGCCACAAATTACTAATATAAAAAATGAAAGAGGTAACATAATTATATATCCCATGTTTAAGAGAATAATAAAGGAATACCTATGACCAACTCTATGGCCAGTTGGAACTCTGGCAGATAGTTCCAGGATGCAAAATCTAAAACATAATAATTTAGATTTATTTCATGGCTTCTTTAGTTAGTAACTTAGCAATCAATTAGACACTCTGCAAGTAGAATCATATTTAACTTAACCTATTATATAGACTCAGGACTCTGCAAACTAAATTTCATATGGATCAAATAATGACTCCGTATAATAATAATTTAAATACGTATGTTCAATATAAATCCTAGTCAACAATAATGGTGTTATGAATGGGTTCTGTGAACACATCACTCCAGGCTACTGAGATTTACTTACTGACCCCAGGTCCAACAAAACAAGTAATGTTGAAATCTCACCCTCTGGCCAGGACTTATTGAGAAGGAAATGTTCTCCAATATGGCATTCCCATTGTCTGTATATTTTGCTATGAGGTTTTTGACGGTCATTTGGCCCCCTAAGGGCCAGAGGTCATCTTTCTTCACGTGCTGATTCTCAATAATCATAACTTTCGTGAGCTGGTCATCCTCAGATGGTTTGATCAACTTGGTAGATTTACTTTGTTCTGTTGGCATGTCTATAAACTTAAAGACTCGGCTCACAGACCGCATCTGAAATGAAAATAACAATATTTTATTTTTGTTTGTTTTAGAGCTGTGGACAATGTCATAATTAGTTTGATGTTTCCTAAATAATAACTTGTAGGATGTAATACTTATTCATCTCTTGCTTATTTATCATAAGGTTTGTCAATGAAATCACAGGAAATTGGATATAATTAAAAGACTAACCAAAGAGATTGAACTAAGAATTACTTATTGCTGTGAATAATGTGCACCCACATTTTTGTGCACATTATTCATGGGATTATTATACCCATGGTATATAATCATTATACCCATGTATAATGTGCATCCTTATTTTTCCCTCAAAATTTTAGGCAAAAAGTGCACATTGTATACAGCAAAGTACAGTATATAAATGGGCTTTGGATAGACCTATTTATTTTTGTGATCACTTAATTCTCAGTTATGCAAGCTACATATTAGTAGCCAAATTATACTCAAAGGATTAGATGATGACAAGGGGAAACGTTTTTATACTATGAGCAGCATTGAACAATGTTGTATGACTGGTATAATAAAATGTTGTATACCTCAAAACCACCATGGAAGATTCTTGCCTTTCTCTTGAATTGCTTTAATAACTCTCTACAATTCTATCTGTCAGTTGGGTGGTAAGTAAACTCGATGTTTAGTAAATATTGAATAATTTTACAATATTCTTCAAATAAATTTAAGTCATTGGCATACATCTGTGGTTAAATAATTACATTTAATCATTTTAAAGATCAATTTCCATTGCTGAGCAAAACATGACTGTGTACAAGGGTTGTATTTGAAATTAAATAGGCATATGCTTTACAAATTTATTCATATAACACTTAACAACATATATCTTTAATGTAGATAAAAATAAAAGAGTTCAACTATGAATAATTATGATTTATTAGAATTTGAAATATAATTTTTTAAATACTGTGGCATAAAAAAGGCACCCAATAATTTTTGAAAAATTAATTATTTAATTAAGGACTAAATATGTAAATGATTAAATATACTGATATATGAATAAATAAATTAATAAGACAAAAGAATTACAGCTTTTGAATTCATCCAATTTCTAATTTCAAAAGATTTTATCCTTAATCCTGTGACTTGGTCTTTCACAAGAATTAATAGTTTACTGGATAGAAATTTACTGCTTTTTCTTGCCTTAAAAGTAACTGTTGCTTCTAACTTTACGCAGTCAAAAATTTATCCTTCTCCTTTACAGTGGTAATGTCTTATTTTATAGTTAAGATTTAGATTATTAGAAACATGTTTGCAAAAAATGTTGGAAGAAATGCATTTGCAGCATTTTCTTGTATTATTTCTATTTTTCATTGTCAAAATTGACTAAGAAAAATTCTTTATCTATGAAATGACTGGCACAGGAGGTTGAAGAATTTAGATACTGATCCTTAATGGAACATTAAAAGTTCCAGCTCAGCACCTCTGATTGTATTGTCTGTTTATACATGCCATTGATCAAGACTGTTATTTGTGAAGTTCTTTCTTTTACCTAGTAATTCTGTGCTTCAATTTCCTTCATCTTAGAATTATCTTCAACAATTGTTTAAGATTCTTGAAGAAAATCCTTTTAAGCCAAACCCACTGTTAATGACAGCAGAAAGTACCCAAAGCTCACATCCATCTTACAATTCTAGGGGATGTGAGAGGAAATTCATCATTATTGCTCCCACATGTAATATTTTAAATTTACAAGTTATGGGTGACTTTCAATGGTTGTTAAATGCTAATTCAGTTACTTTTATTAACTTTGAATTAAAATATACTCTTGCATTTCACTGTCATTAATATTCACAGGAAGCTGCTACTCTATTTAAGGTTTGGAAGATGAATGAGAATTGTAACTACCACTGAGATGGAACCACCAGAAAAGTAGATCAAATGCATTTCATATATCTTATTGTATTTATGCTGCATAAGAATAAGATCACTCTCTTGAAATGAGAAATGTAGTTGAGACTGTTGACATTTCTGCATGTCAGTGCTATGAAGAATTCCAAATGTGTCTTTGTTAAGTGCTTTAAAATGTCAAAAAAGACAGTATATAGCAAAATCCCTTATTTTTAACACTTCTGCACAATCAATAAAACATTTAAGTAATGCTTATCTAAACAACTCAAGATTATGTGCAATGTTATTACAAGATAACATCCAAAATTACTATTTTGGCAGCACTGAAATGCAATATGTAATATTTTCTTTAAGAATTTGAGTTTGAGCATAGCAAATTACATTCTCTATTAGCAAGGCTCACCTCTGAAGAGTAAATCCGTAACTTCTAATGTGTAATGTGGCAAAGAGAACATATTTGTCAAATTTAGAAAATATAATTTTCAAATTGACATCTTTCATACAGTTTAGTTGCTTAAAGTAGCCTTAGGACAGACTATTATAGTTACCCACAACACAACCTGGTTGCCCTGACCTGATCAAGAACAAGTCTATCTTAACAACAGGCACTCACCTACAGCATATGAGCAAACATTCATTCAATTCAATGGGTTAGAACATTTTCTGAAGGGAAGAAAAGGTGGCAAGGGCAGACATCTGCATTATGGTCAGCTTTGCAGCCTCCGAAATACCATTACTGAATAGATAATGTGGCCAGACAATATAATTATGAACTAATGCTTTGTACCTCACAGGGTCTCCAGTTTTCACCTCTACTTTCAAGTACCTTTTGAAGGAGAAGCCACATGAGAACCAGAGCACAGAAAATTAATTCTGGTCTTTCAAGTTTCAAAAAATGGCTTTTAGAGTCATAGATTGATAGTTTGAAAAATTAAAGCTACATAAACATTGGCTTTTTAGCTTCAAAAGCCAAAACATGAAGAACTGGAAGCACGGTGTTTACACAGAAACAATAGACACAGATGAGCTTCTATGTAAGAGAAACAGCTCCTTTTCTCACTCTACAATCTGATTCATGCATGCAGTAGCAAGAGGGCTGAAAAAGGAGTTCTGCCTTGCAACCGAACTGTGTTTTCATCCTCAAGCAGATTTTGGGGGTCTTAGAAAATAGGAGGTCTTTGCCTAAATCCAGGAAACAGGCTTTCCAGTGCCTGGCTTGGCATGGCAGCCATGGAATAGACATGGTTGCTTGGCATGTCTAGACACAGATGACAGCTTCTGATTTCCTGGTGTCTCCAGCACGGTGCTGAAGGGAAACCAATGAAGGGGCAGACTCTGTCTGGCCCACTGACAGCAGAGTCTGTTTACATCACCCCCAGTTTTAGTGGTAACACTTAGATAATGAGAAGTAAACAATGAAGCCAAAAGAGACTCAGACACAGAGACATTGAACCCATTCTTTATGTGAAAAGGAAAATGACATAATCTGTACAAATTTCTATGAAATTGGAGTTTAGCAAAAACAAAGTGATTTTTGCTTGAGAATCATCTGCGTTAAATTTTTCATTTTATTATTGAAATTTGCTGTGCTCAAAAATTCTCTTGAATCAATCTTTAAAAGAGTCTCAATAATCTTTTTTAAAATAAATAATTTATTTATTTTTATTGATTATGCCATTACCGTTGTTCTATTCCCCCCTTCATTCCCCTCCACCCTGCACCTCCCCACCCCCACCATCCCCCCCTTTAGTTTATGACCATGTGTCTCAAGTTCTTTAGATTCTGTATTTCCCATACTATTCTTGCCCCCTCCCATCTATTTTCTATCTACTGTCTATGCTACTTATTTTCTGTACCTTCTCTCCCCTTCTCCTCCTCCCACTCCCCTGTTGCTAACCATCCTTGAGATCTTCATTTCTATGTTTCCACTCCTGATCTAGCTGTCCTTTTAGTTTGCTTTTGTTTTAGGTGTGGTTGTTAATAACTGTGAGTTTGTTGTCCTTTCACTGTTCATGTTTTTTTAACTTCTTTTTCTTAGATAAGTCCCTTTAACATTTCATATAATAAGGGCTTGGTGATGATGAACTCCTTGAATTTGATCTTATCTGAGAAGCACTTTATCTGTCCTTTCATTCTAAATGAAAGTTTTGCTGGATAGAGCAATCTTGGTTGTAGGTCCTTGGATTTCATGACTCTTTCCAGCCCCTTCTTGCCTGTAAGGTCTCTTTTGAGAAATCAGCTGACAATCTGATGGGGACTCCTTTGTAGGTGACTGTCCCCTTAGCTCTTGCTGCTTCTAGGATTCTCTCCTTCATTTTAATCTTGGCTAATGTAATGATGATGTGCCTTGGTATGTTCCTTCTTGGGTCCAACTTCTTTGGGACTCTCTGAGCTTCTGGGATTTCCTGGAAGTCTATTGCCTTTGCCAGATTGGGGAAATTCTCCTTTATTATTTGTTCAAATAAGTTTTCCACTGGTGGCTGCTCCTTTCCCCCTTCTGGTACCCCTATAATTCGGATGTTGGAGTGTTTAAAGATGTCCTGGAGGTTCCTAAGACTCTCCTCATTTCTTTGAATTCTTGTGTCTTCACTCTTTTCTGTTTGGCCATTATTTGCTTTCTTCTGGTCCACTCCATTGATTTGAGACCCAGTTTCCTTTTCATCGCTATTGACTTCCTGTGTAATTCCATTCATTTCAATTAGTTTTGCCTTCATATGTATATCTAATTTGTGGCTATAATCAACCAGTTCTGTGAGGATCCTGATCACCAGTGTTTTAAACTGTGCGTCTGAGAGTTTTGCTATTTCTTCATCGCTTAGATTTATAGGCTCTGGGGCTTTGAGATCTTCTTGAGCCATTTTTGTTCTGTTCACGCCCGTTAAGTAGGAGGAGGGTAGCCTTGGACTCCCAGGTCACTGGGTTGTGACGCTGTATGTGGGGGCGTAGTCAGAGCAGGGAAATGGCGGGGCCCTCTGCTGCCACTAGCCCCTGGGGCCTGCTGCGTCCCGTCCAATCACCCACTCCCTCACTTGTCTATCCACGCACGGATGCGAGACCACAGTCAGTCAACCCGCAGCCCTGCTCCCTCGCTGTTTCCCCATGGTCGCTCACTGAGTTGCCCACCAGGT